ACGAGCTGTATACAAACAACAGGACACAGTATCAGACCTGTGACAGACCAAAAATATACATTTTTAGTCACAGCGGACACACTGGCTCCCCCCTCTGAAGCATACAACGCGGCTTTTTGAGGGAGAGGGGGGCAAATTATATAATATATTTTCAAATGAACAATGTAATAAAAATAAAATAAATATACATTGGAGGTAGTGGAGTAATCAATTGGAGTACAAATGCACAAATGCAAATTGCACACAAAAATAAATGAATCATACCTGTGACAGACCAAAAATATACATTTTGAGTCACAGCGGACACACTGGCTCCTCCTATGGGATGAAAACGGTACGTGAGCATGGCAATACACTTGAGCACATGGTAAGCTAGCTAAATAAAAAGTACATAAAAACAAAAAATGTGCAAAAGTACGTTCATTGCATCCCAATACATTTCCTACTAAACATATCTTAGTGAATATTGCGGAAAATAATGCTAAATTATTGAAAATATGTATTTTTCACAGAGACAGAACTCACCCTCAGAATCATACAACGCGGCTTTGAGAGGGAGAGTTGAGTCCCAAAATAAAACACAGGGGAGCAGCGCGCACTTCCGGGAATTACAAAATAAAACGTCAAAATAATAAAATTCACACAAAATTACATTTTAAAATATAATACAACCAGAAATTGTAAAAAAAAAAAAAAAAATGATGTGCATTTCTATATCCGTTAGATAGATAGATAATTTTCAGGTGTCCAGTAGCAGCAAAAATAAAAATAAAATTGATCATTCTGAAAACATAATAATAGTAATAATCAGCAACAGCCCTTCAGGTCACAGCAGCAGAGGTGGAGTAGCCTCTGGGTGTAGCAGGACGGGTCACAGCAGCACAGAGGGAGTAGCCTCTGAGTGTAGCAGGACGGGTCACAGCAGCACAGAGGGAGTAGCCTCTGAGTGTAGCAGGACGGGTCACAGCAGCACAGATGGAGTAGCCTCTGGGTGGAGCAGGACGGGTCACAGCAGCACAGATGGAGTAGCCTCTGGGTGGAGCAGGACGGGTCACAGCTGCACAGATGGAGTAGCCTCTGGGTGGAGCAGGACGGGTCACAGCAGCACAGATGGCACCATTATTTTTTCTTGTCAGGGTTAAAGTTATAATATCTTTGGCCTCCAGTTGTGAGTTTTGGAAACCAAAAAAATATTTGACGGTTGTATTGTACAAAAATGGCACAATAGAAGCTAAGGTTTTCCTGAAGGAGAACATTGTTGATTTACAGATACACACATTTGAAATGAAGTGTGTGGAAAGCTCCAAGTGCACCTGCTCCTGCACCACTCAGCCTGAACGGAAATTTCTGAGGTAACTCACATCCAATTAGGTCTCACCTGCAGGAGGCCTCCCAGAGAAGCACCGCAGTGTGACCGGAGCACCACAACAGGGCCATCATGGAAACTATCCATCTGAATCCATGTCAACATACATTTCAAGTCAGTCGCTTAAGAAAAAAGTCACAGCTATGAAAACATGGACTTTGACGTCTTTTAACCAGTTTGTAACTCCTTCGGCATAAGATTTGTTAATTATCCAATCAGACAACCCCCTTCCATCCAACTTGTTGTTCCTTCTTCATAGATATAGAAAGCTTGATAGATACTGTATTGATCCCCCGTAGGAGAAATTCAGTTGTCTAGCAGCAGAAACACATTCATTTGAACAAAACAAATAAATACATAATTCTAAATGTTACTAACAATAGTAATTGTGCAACAAGCCGCAAAGGTGGAGTATCCGCTGGGTGGAGCAGAACAGGTCACAGCAGCGGACGTGGAACAGCCACTGGTGATTAGCTGCTTTCTATCTTCTGGTTGATGTCTACAGAGTCAGTTTGGTTCAGACCATTTCCTCTGTTCTGGTCCAGAGTGAAATTCTGAATGCTTTATTTGCATTTATCAAAACAAAATCAATTAGCATTCCTCTAGTAGATTTACGCTTGGTTCGGACTGAGCATGTGCTCTTCTCTGGTCTGGAGTAAAATTTACAGCTAGAAAAAACAATGATTGCAAAGCTCAAAAAACAACTGTTACAGAGTCAGTGTTAAGGACTGGCTGCTGTTTCCAGAGTATTCAAAAGATGCCATCTATGTTATTAAGTGCACAAGTTTGTTATGCAGCATAGCCACTCCACAACAGGAGACTGCCACCTCCATGCTTCAAACGATGGTGTTCTCTGCATCACACGCTTCCCCCTTTAACTACAAATCTAATAAGTCATTATGGCCAATCAGTTCCACTTGAGACTCGGTTACACTGTTGAGGCCCTGTTTAAAAAACAAAGGTCAGGAAGGCCAAAGGCCCAGATGCGATTTGTGGTCGCACTTTGCACCATTGTGCCACTCAGCTCAGCGGTGTGTTTTGTTGTTTATTCCAAAAATATATTGATTGATTTGTCAGATTCCAACGCTGTGGAAAACGTCAACAGTGATACCTCTTCCCAAATCCAAGAATCCAGGAATCCAAGGCTTTTCATAACCTCACTGGTTATGAAAAGCCTTTAGCACATTTTAAAGACTCACATCCTCTCCTTAACAGAAGGACAACTGGATCCACTGCAAGAGTTGATGATGCAAAACTGTTACTGATGAATGTCATTTATAAACACCTGGTGAAGGCCGGATCCCATGTTAGACTTTTATTTGTGTGGCAAGCGGGACTTGGCCACCATATTTGTGTCCACCAGAGGGCGCATAAACGTATAAATAGCCCAGAGCTATGTCTTTTGTTTACCTCTACACTTCCGTCTCCTGTGTGTGGTCGCGCCAGCCCTTCTCCTTCTCCAGGTAGTAGAGTTTTAGTGTTCCTTTTCATAATGAGTTGCTGCCACTAATGGTAAATTGTTGTTGTAGTACTGCGGTGTGGCATTGTGCCCCGCGAGTTCTGCTTTTAAATGGCCATGCTGTCCTGTCGCTTTGGCGTCTGGCCGCCCTCGTTGCTGGGGTCCGAGTGTGTCGTAGCCGGCTGTGGGTCTGGGCCTGTAAACCGTCACCTGTCACGGGTGCGCGCTCAGCATTTGCCGTGGAGAAGTAGGTCTTAGCTGCACACACTGACAGCATTGTGGTTGACCAATAGCTAACTTAACTCTAATTTAAACCCATAGGCTGGGGACTGTCCACATCGCGGCCCACCGCTGTTTCTCCCGCTTTCTCCCGCTTTCTCCCATTTCTCTCCCTGTTCTTCCGTGTTTGTGTATTTACCGGTGCTCCTGAGTCCATTGTGACAAGAGGATACACATCCAGAACCAAGGAATGAACTTTATATCATCATGTAATAAATCCAAGTAAACTAATGTCTGCCTATGCCTCAATTTTGATTTACAAACCTGTGCGCCTTAGGTGCGCGTTTTATTTTATTTTGGGCACTCTGCCCTGGCGTTGCTGGTGTTTCTTTCTTTTATTTTATTGTATTTTTAGGAGCGCGTAGCTGCCTCTACTTGCCACATTTGCAGACTTCTCATCGGCTTATAACAAAATGCAGCCTCATATTCTGATACAGAGATTAGCTGCTGATTTCAATCTCCCGGACCAACTTCTTTTACTGATCTTAAACTTTCTTACTGATTGTGTTCAGCATGTTTTAGTGAATGGGAAAATTTCAGCTCCTTCAATCTCCAACACTGGTTCGCCCCAAGGATGTGTCCTTTCTCCTCTTCTTTTTATCCTCTACACAAACAGTTGTCGATCATCAGAGGAGAACAGACTTCTGCTTAAATTTTCAGACGACACAGTCCTGGTGTCACTGCTTGCCGGCTCAGAGACGGGCCATGGTCCTGCACTGGCACAATTTGTCTCCTGGTATGAAAACCATTGCTTGGATTTAAATGTTGCGAAGACCAAGGACATGATCATTGATTTCAGACGCGTCACATCCAATGACACCAGCGTCATCCACGGTGGGAATGTTGAAATCGTGGACAGTTACAAATATCTTGGAACAACAATAGACAACAAACTGAAGTTTCACATAATTGAGTCTATCAATAAACGGTCGCTGCAGAGAATGTACCTGTTGAGGAAATTGAACTCTTAATGTAAACAGGACAATTCTGAATAATTTTTGTTGTTCTTTTATTGAAAGCTTTTCTTTTATCTGTTGGTTCCAAAGCCTGACGCTGAAGGACAGAAACAGGTTGCAGAGTGCTGTGCGAACTTGCTCCAAAATCACTTGAAGAAAACTCAGAGACCTTCAATCTCTGTGGGTGGAACAGGTGCTGAATAAAGCTAAGCATATTCTGGCTCAGCCCAAACATCCTCTGATTGCTGACATTGTATTGATGCCTTCAGGGCGTCGTTTTTATGCTCCAGCACAACAAACAAACCGTTTCTCCAATTCTTTTGTGCCCTCTGCCATAAAACTGTTGAACTCTGGTAGAGGTGGTTGACTTTGGGAATTGTGTTGTTCATTGTTGTTTTTTTTTTTTTACTTATTTTGCTGTGTGAACTGTGAGACTCACTGTGTGTTTGTGTAGAGTATGTGTGTTCTGCTTTGAGTTTATGCTACAAATGAATTGCCCTTTGGGATCAATAAAGTTTTCTGAATCTGAATCTGAATCTGAAAATACATAATATGACTTCTTCAGTTTTGTTTGGAGTACTGACTTCCTCCCTCAACTTTGGATAACAAAAAATTCTAACCACCAGCTTCAGCCAACATCTTAAACTGTTTTTGTTTCTTTTAGTTCTGGGGATGTTATCCCTTCTGTACAGTATGACATCTCCACAGTGTTTATATTTGATCAACATTGGTTGAATGGCATCTTCAGGCATTTGGAAACCTACGAATGAACCAGACTCGTGGAGAGCAACTATCTTATTTTTCAACAAATAGTGGTAAAGTGGTAAATAAAATAAAATTGTATGTAGCAAAAGCAATGTAAACACAAGTATCAATTGAAAAATCAGGAGGAGAAATATGTATTAAAAAAAACGATTAATCATATAATTTTGTAGACCAATTAAACTGAACTGCTGTCGCCCACAACCAACCTGATGCTCCTGGAGAAAGAAAGTTCAGTGCAAAGGAAAGTCTTCAGACCCTTTCATTTAAAAGTGTGTAAAGAAAGAAAAGAGTGAGATGGAAGTCAGCAGGGAAATGTTACCATTAGAGGACACATTTTATTTATTTATTTATTTATTTGAATGGGACAGTGCATGTCAATGAACAGACATTAAAAACATGAATGTAAACATGCCAGATTATAGCCAAAGGCTAATTTCCATCTGTAGTCCCATAGGGTCAGGGTCACACGGGTCAAATGCAGCAACATTAACAGAAACAAGAGGAAATTACACACATCTCATTATTGCACACGTTCCGTTGTTACACACATCTAATACACACATCAGATTATTGCACACATCCCGTTAATACACATATCTCATTGTTGACGCACTATTTCATTTAAAAAGCCTTGTGCCGGTAGCTTCCTCAGACTAGACCCACAGGCTGCAAGCTTTTTCCTTCCCTAGCGCCCGGGAGGACGGCAGCCTGAGGCTCGCTCCTGAACAAAGAGCTTGAAGGGGCAGGAGGACGCACACCCAGACACTCAGCTTCCAAAGCAAACCGTACTGCTGCATAATTATCTCAAAGGCCAACATTTCTGAGTTGTAATTTAATGAAAAAAATGTCAAACATAACCTGAGAGATGCGATTCACTGATTTCCTGTTATAGTCTCTATGCTCAAGCGATTTCCCCACCTCCATGATGAGAGAGTGACATTTGTATTTAACCCATCAGGGGGAAGAGCGAGCATTTAGCAGGGACCGATCAATAAAGCTCAGATCAATAAAGTTATCAACCTGTAACAGCTTCTAACCTTGTAGTCTAGAATCCAAACAAATGCTAAAGGCCACAATAAGCCACCATAAAAAATATATATAATGTTCATGTTCAATAATAAGAGACAGGGAGATAGGGACAGGAGTCACAGAGTTATACTTGTCCCGTAGAGAGATCTGACCCATTCTGAATGCCACTAAGGTCTTTGTCAGGAGCAGCTGTGCCCGTGGTTCAGCACCCAGTGACCTATCTCCAGGTGTTGATGCTCGGCTCGGTCGGGACCAGAGCAAGGGGTTTTTTACATTGTACTTGTTTTAAGTGATGGGAGTTACCGGAGCATGCAGAGGAAACCTAATCAGACATGGGGAAAACTCCACTCAGAAAGGCCCTGTTCTGACCAGGATTCTACAGTAGCTGAGAAGCGAGAATGCAACCCACTCAACCCCTGTGGCACCCAGTTTGGAGTTTGCATGTTCTCCCCCTATCTGTATAGGTTTCCATCAGGTGCAACGGTTCCTCCTAGCACAAAAAACATGTACAATAGTTCAGGGTGAATGAATGTGTGTTTGTGAAAGCAACTGTGGGACAATGGATGCAAATTAAGACAACAGCTCAATGGAAAAGACATCTGCCACATGATATAAGAAAACAAGAGTTATGAGGAAAACTTACCACACCATGATGTAGTCGTAAATAGGCTCTGTGTTGATAACAGAGAAGTTGATGTAGATGCCATATCCAGGGGGCACGCGGACTGTCCACATGCAGTCCTGGAAGTGGGGGTACTCTGCAGGGTGTCCGGGGGAGTAGATGGTCCCATTCATGGATGTTATATTACCTCCACAGAGAGCTGCAGGAAAGAAGACAGAACTCTAAGCTAGATATCGAGGATTTCAAAAGTTGGTGTCTGATTTACTTCCTGCCATAACGTTGGCTGTTATGGCAGTTACTAGCACAAACCGTGATGAAACAACCATAACTGCATGTGTTATTGGGTTTTTATCAAAGCCGTAAGAGAGAGAAAGCACCTGCCAGGTATCACCACAGGAAATGTGGTCAATAAAATGACATAGCGTATTGAAAATAAAACTTCCCTATAATCCCCCATGCCCTAAAATGACTTCAAATAGACATCAGATTCAGATTCATTTATTTGCCATTTGCAGTAAAACCACATAGGAAAAACTGTGCAAGACTACCCCAGTGTGCACCAGACGACACACAACAGAGCTCTTGCCACGGCGCCATCTTTACGGCGCCATGCGACATTGAATCAATTGAATCCAGAGGAAAACCTTATAAAACATGAGGACAGCTAAACTTACAGAAATAGTATTTACTTGTACATACAAACCAACTGGTTAAACCACAGACACATTTATTCAGACAGACAGGCTGCTGTGTTACAAACTAACAAAGGGTGTCCTTTTAAATCGTATACAGTCGTCGTAAATCGTAAAAGATTCTTCATCTTATTGTGGGCAAGGGGCCACAATGCTCAGAAATGTAGATATATTTATTATTGTGTTAGGCAGTGTTATATTTGTGTAAGTGTTAGGCAGATGACTTTTGCTTTTGGTTATTTTGAAAAGGCTTCAAAGATCTAAGTAATATTGGCTTTATAAGATAAGTTGAATGGACTACAATCCTTGTCAGTATTCACTGAATAGTATCCTTTTTATTTAGATGTTTTTCTGTCACTCTCATCAACTATCATCAAACTATTAGCTGCATTATCAGACTACATACGGCGGCCTCTTCACACACTTCACCTGTCATTGCTGTTTCTCACTGTGATAGATACTGTGCACTCAGAAAGATAAACGCCACAAAGAGTTTATTTTATTTTATCAGACTGAGTCCTCCAACAATCACAATTTTCTCAACTCGTAAATCTATTTCATGTCCATTTATGCCTGCTGTTAACACTGTGACTTTGGGAACAACATTTTCTTACTCAAACTATCTCTATGGTTGATTTGTGTTGTTCAGTCCACCTGTCAGTGCTCATGTTGTTATGCCTGACTGGCATAATGTGCTGCAGTTAGTCTTACTGACCTTCACAGCGAGGGATGGGGTAGTTCCAGTTGCGGCTGATTCCGTGCAAACATGTGAGAGAAGGCTCTCCAATCAGAGTGTATCCAGGCAGGCACTCAAAGGAAATGGTCATTCCCACACTGTACTCCTGTCCAATCACCAGACCGTTACGAAAGGGACGTGGGTCTGGGCATCTCTGCAGCTCATATGCTGAAAAAGTATATTTCACAACTGTTACAGTTGCTCTTGCACTAGTTATCATTTCTTAAACCTAAAACCTGCAGTTTACTTAAAGGTTTCATTAAAAATATAAATTTTCATAAAACATAACATTATGTTTGTCCTAACAGTGAGAAAATTCTGTGAACAAATTAGACCATATCATGCTTTCTTCATTAAAACATACATTTCACATATTCTGATCAAAAAATCTGATCTAAAGATGTGACAGAGGCCAAAAAAGACACGCATGTAAAAGATAAAGGATCTTTGTGGTTAGGTACCCGGCTTTAATTAGAATGCCCCTTAGTTAATAATGTGACTTCTCTTACCCTGGTATATGATGTGGAAGCCTGGCTTGTTCTGTGAATAGTCGCTGTGGAAAAACAGAGTGGTTTCGTGGGTGGTGCTAAATAGAGAGTTGGGCACCACAGAGCCACTGAAGCGATCCATCACTGTCCCGGTCTCCAGGTTCCCACTGCGCACCTCCAGGTAATCATGGACGGGCTCTGTGGAGAAGTTCAGGAACTGCAGATGGATCCCTGCAACACGTCAAAGCAAGAGAGAATGTGAATATATCAAGTCTATTTATACAGTATAGGAGGTTTTCAAATGCTAGAACATTGGAATTGTATTTAAGTGTGTTGAACATGTTGATTAGTAGAAAAATAATCCTGCATAGTTTGCAGGTTAGATAATATGATTGTATGTACAGTAGTGGTAAGGTTTAATGGTTCACTGAGGTACTAAAGATTTCCCCTACTTTAGTTACACAAGAATTCTCCCATTCACCAGTCTGAGAAGTCTATGTGCAGAGCCTTTCTTTCACATGTAGATGATTAACATATGAAGCGAACCAGAACATAACGATTGTGTTCCTCAGCCCTTTCCTCTGAAATATGATTGACACGCTAAACTGTTTGTGCTGTGAATAAGTAGAATGCTAGTAATGTGGTAAAAGGAGGAAAACTCAACAGTGCTGCAAATCTTTTGAAAATAAATAGCTCTGTTGTTTACACTCAACATCAGTAAAAGAAAAACCTGGAGCAGCACCTTAAAGAGATATAATAGAGACTTGAGTTCCATTAAAGAAGAAATCAGCAATAGAGCCGGCATTAAAATAAAAAAGAGATCAATTGGGAGTGTTTAGACCAATTTAATCTCCAAAACACTTCACTCTATAAAAGACCAAATGATCCAATTTATAAGATCCCCTGCTGTTGTGGGGTTATCTGCTAAGAAAGTGTACTCTTGAACTGGAAAATCAATGAATTTGATATCTGACCAGTGAATCGAAATAGGTCCAGACACAGTGTTGCAATTTGTTCCAATTACATGTATTTTCTTAACATCTCTATTCCTCTCTATAAGCCCACAGTGTACTTTATATAGAACAATTATGGGTAAGGAAGACATGAGACATACCGAAGCCAATAGGGAGCTGAACTCTCCAGCTACAGTCCAGGCTGCTCTGGTAATTCCCAGGAAAGCCAGGGCTGAGGATAACGCCACTGAAATCTGTCATGGAGCCCCCGCATTGAGCTGTAGAAGAACAGCCAATAAGGAATAACACACATCAGAGGCAACATGGAGAAAGAAAAAAACAAAACTACTTCTGTAAAGTGCACTTGTAACATGCATTTGCAGCTTTTATAAAAAGGTAATTGTTTGGTTAAGAGCATTGAAGGACCCCTGCGGCTCAAAGCATGGTTATGGGTTTATAAACGGCATTAAAATGAAGACTGGCTGTTATTTGGATGAAACAAACGCAAAAGGCACTACAATGAACTGTTTTAATGCAAGTGTTGGTTTAGTGCTTTTTAAATCAGCACAAACAGCAGTGATTTTGCATCTGAATTCACTTTAAGTGGATCAATTCTGAACTCACACCAAGTCCAAGCACTGCATGTTCATGTTTTGATTTGGGAAATTGATTTGAGCGAAGTTTTTCGTCGGGTTTTGAATCGGCATTGACACATTGCATTAGATGGTGCTTGTTGGTATTGATTACTCGGTACTTTGAAACATCTGAGAGATATCTTCTGTTATTGTTATTGCTATTGTTGTAAGTTCTCTTCTAACTTCACCTAACTTCACACTCTAAGTTATTTATTGCAATCATAAATCTCTTTTGTCAACATCTAATTCCACTGTCCTCGCAGTTCTAACCTTGGCATCTTATATTGTCAAACTGCATTCATTATCCATCCTCTGGACGTATCTATGTCATCTCAATATTGATTTCCCATTTTCCATTTTCAGCTCAGCTTCTGCAGCTTCTTATATTTTCCTCAGTGGTACTGTCCCAGAACCATTCACATATGCTATTTCTACTCTACTCATATGTCTTTCCTTATTATATTTACTGTCCCATAAAAACAATGCATCCAATGGCCACCACAAGGCTTACTTTGAAACCAGCAGCATTGATTTTCAGCTGTGTTCAAGCATTATACATGAAGTGGACTGTTTCATACTACTACACACTGCTTTCCCTGATTTAATTTTACTGCCAATGGATACTGGCATATCCTTTTTAATTGTGCAGGAAATGGGTGGGCAGATACTTATGAGGAGGTTATGGTGTTTGTACAGGAACTTTGAAGTGACTTTATCAGCTATTAAGGCAACATAGAGAGCGCGTTGGAGGGGTGAGTGCATGCACTGCAAATGAGCAAAGTGGAGGTCCAGGAAACGCACTTGTCAACACTAAAGCTGGGATTTAAGCTGGCAGTGAACTGTGAAACCAATGGGGAATTTACATTTACATGATGAAAACGTGTAAGCAAAAAGCATGTCGAGGCTGGATGTGTGTGAACTTATGCTCAAAATTGTGGGCAACGGAAAGGCACAGTGTTATGAAGACAAAGTGGGTGGCTACATTGGTAATCGCTGTAATGCATCAATATGGCAATCAAAATCACATAACGCCTTGGCTAAAGCTGGGGGCTCATCAGGCACTAAGGAATCAAACAATAGCTTGAAACGATATAAAGCTCTATTGATTGAAGGGTGAAGCAGATATGGCAAAATCCGTAGACACAATGCTTTCAAAGCCCACCGTCTCCCTGCCTCTTTACTAACAATAGAAATATTATACAGCTTTTTTTAATACAATCACAGCCCCTATGTGAAAGCATTGATCGATGTGTGCGGTTGTTCGGTTCTGGCTCTGACTTAAAATTAAATAAAACCTTGAAAATAGATTAAGCTAAATGAATACTGAGAAAAGAGTTTATGTGTGCTGTGTTTATAAAACTGCAAAATACAGTTATGAAGCATGGATGTGACATTTGCACAGTCTGTGTGACTATCTATGTCAAATGTGACATGTAAATTTCTCCAGCGTGAGATCAATAAAGTCTATCTCATCTTTTCTTAAATGTAAGAACTGTAATAAGACCATACATTACCTAAACAGAGTGGCACGGGATAGTTCCACCTTCTCACTGGGCCGGGCATGCAAGTGATGTACGCATTCCCCTATGAGAAAAACAAAGGTCATAAAGCCCAGCCCTGGACAATATTAATGTACTGTAACAACAGGGGAAGATTAAAAAAAACAACAGGTGCGCAAGATAGCTTTAATGTTAGCCTTCTGAAGCTCTGGATCCTCTCTTTGTTTAAATATTTGATGGAATTTAGAGAAAGACAAGAGCCTGAGAGAAAGACAAGAGCCTAGTGCTGGTAGCCATAGAGTAGCTGTGATCTGCGTGCGGGTTGTACAGCTGCTCAGAGAATAACAAGACAAATACTCTGAATGTGTTGTGCTTGTTGGATTCTTTCCAAAAAGTTCTTTGGAAAAATGTTTCACCAAATAGTGTCTTGTTTGTTTATCTTTTACAAGTGTGTAAAAACGGGCAAAACAAATGCATACATATTCCTCAACAGCCACATATTGTATTGGCTATTTTTGAATTTCTGTTCTATTATTTAAATTTTTACCACTGCATGTATTGCTAATGATTCAACTTTTGTACTAGATATGTTTCTAAAAAAGGCAAAATAATGTATAAATGCATATTATAAACAAAGTGTGTTGTATAACTTATGTCCTGCATAATTTTAGGCCATTATAAACAATAATGATATTTTTTTTATTGGTAAGTTATTATTAAGTTTTAGATACATATACCTATGCTGGGGTTTGTCTTTCATTCTTAACTCTACATTATATTACACATAGGGCTACCATGGTTTTAGCCCATGGTTTTAAGTATACGCAAAATGAATTAAGAAAAGATCATTAAAATATACATAAATTACATTTTTCTTTCAGAGCAAAAATCAGGCCCTAATTACAACCAACAATATTTTCTGGAACTATCAAAAATTAGACAAACATGAATTTAAATTTAAAAAGAATGTGCATGTAATGTTTGCATATGTGTAGCAATCATAAATAACCAGTTTTTACCACACCAAACTACTATATGATACTCCATTTAGTAGGACAACCGCATTACATTTTTCCACCACCAATCAAAGCTAAGGTTTGATGGGAATGCTAGTATTTATTCAATGGGCTAATCCAGTGAGCTTCTTCAATGGCCTCTAGTCTATTCTCTATGTCCTCACTATAAGCCTAGAGATGTGAAGTTTGCTAGTCAGCCCTTAGAGTGTAAAAGGAAATGAATGCTCAGGGAAAAAAATGTGTATGGGATTAGAGAGGAGACTGTTAACACAATCCATTGCCTATGGCCTTGGACGGTGCTCCGAAAAGCCACAGATACACTATGTACTTGAGAAGATAGAGAGTTTAAGCTTCTTTGTAAATGGCATAAATGGCATACACACACACACACATGCACACACACAAACACACACACGTACATCAAGATTCTGAATTCTGCACAGAGCTGTATGGGGGATGCTGAGGATACACTTTCTAAAGAGCTTTCTACATCATAATAACATCTCAATAGTTATGATGATTGGTTGTAAATTACAAACACAATCATTTGAAAATCTCATAAAAAACATATTAAATTCACAATAGACTATCAGCAAAATTATTCACTGTGGAAGCTCAGATATGATCAACTTAATGACATATAATGGCTCTTTTTGTGATTTAATGAGAGCAACACATCTACTAAATGGGACAGGTGTAGAATTTCATAAAGGGGCACCGCACACAGGAGCTACACAACGTCTGATGGCATTCTGTCAGCTTATCACCTTCTTACTGTTATTACTTTTCAGAGAATGTTCCAAAGTATTTCATTAAAGCTGGAATACCTCACTTTGAAAACAAAAATTAACTACTGTATGTAATAAAAATCCATGTTACTACTACTAGCTACTCGCTCTTAAAACTGTTTGGTTTAATCAATAGTTTTTCACACACATGTAGCATAGGTTTGGCCTTTATCACATCTTACAATCAGTTATTTCAGAGTAAAAGAGATGTCCCCCTGTCTCAGCCAATCCGCTCTCAGTATGTCAAAGATAACATGTTTTCTAATACAATAAAGATAGTATGTTGTTGTCTCATATGTTCACCTAAAGTTACTTAAAGAAGCTATACTCGATTTATTTTCTAATGAGTTCATAAAAATGCTTATTACTACATACAAGTTGTATTATGATCCGTAATTTAATTGAAAACTTGAGCTCATTGATTCAGCTTGAAAACATTCGGACGCGAAACTAGCGGTAATGTTTCAGTTATATATTTTGTTAGCAGTGCGTTGCTTTTGTACCACTTCATCAGTGATTGTTGTACAGCTTACAAGGAGTTGCGCTAATGCTAATATTTGCATGTGTATCAGATCGCAAATAAAACTAGATGGCTACGTGGAATGAGAGCGTAGGGGAAATGAGAAGCCTGTGAGCGAGTTGGGGGGGCGGTGCTAAACATTCAAACATTGCAGAAACGGGTATAGCTCTTTTAAACAAAAAAACATTTATTTATGAATCTAACCAAAAAAGTACTCCAGTTTTAAACGCATCACAAGAGACAACAAAACAATTCTCTTCCACAGAAGCACAAACCGCATTATTATCAGGCAAAAACAAAACAATCATGCACCAAATGTGATTCCTTCACCTTTTTCGGTAAGAGTGAAATTTGAAATAAAAGAAAAATCAATTATGGTGTGTGTCCACTTTGATAAATAAAATAACTAAACCCAGATTAATACAAATAAGGGCCGCCATGTCAAAGTAGTGCCTTCATGAATGTGTTTTTACCTGTATGCTGTAGCCTTGGCCACACTGGAAGGACACCATGTCGCCCACAGTGTAGCGATCTCCAATCCTCTCTCCGTGACTGGGAGGCAGTGGCTCTGGGCACGAATCTAAACCTATTGCTTAGGAAAGAGGCAAAACACACAAGTGCAGACAGTCATTAATCTCCCGTTCTCGCCACACTCGTCCCCTCTCAATAAAACCTATAAGTATTGAAAGATCAGAATTGAATGAAAATAATTGTACAGGTAATTATAGTTTGATTCTTTTGGGCCTTTAATTCCATAATTAGATGGCATATTAAGAGGCTTTTGATTTCGTCTGTCTCCATTATGAATTAAGAAAGTGGGCCAAGTCACAAAGCCCTTTTCTACTCGTGGCTTTAATCTCAAAATCTTTCCAACAGTGATCTGAAGCAATCAGTGTGAAATTACAAAGCCATCCCTCAAGTGTTACTTGACAGAAGCGGTGAGCTCTGTTGGAACAAAGTGTTTACAGCGGAACATTTCAGTAGCACAGGCTCATACTGAGTGGCTTAAGGCTATTATGATCCATGGTTTAATATAATGGACTTCAGAGTACATCTTCACTAGTTAATAGATATAGCATTGTTTCATTTATCTGATGAAAAGGCCAGATGTTAATTCTGAGGGAGAAATCATTGAATCTATATTAGGATAAGGCCGGATAAGTTAATTTAGATATATTGCATAGCTCTGGGCTGTTAGAGGATTGGCGCAATTATGGATAATATGTTTTCAATAATATGTAAATATATATACATGTTATGTCTTTGCAATTGCCAACAACAATTGAATCGATGCATTAAAAAAAAAATACACCAAGTTTGTTTTTGCACTGCTATGTTAATATTATTTAAAATTCCAAAGCGTATCCAACATGATCCATAATTCATAGCAACAATGAAGAATTAATTTTACCGCTACACCGGAATACAGACTTTATTCAATCAGGTGGCTTTTACGTGCTCTGAAAATTGTTACTACTACGAAATAGTGGGGCGATATGGTAACGCAGCAGGCACACATATCATTCCAGGAGTAAGTGGGGAAAAACTGAAAAACTATTATGTTGGAGAATAACTTGTTTAAAGTTGACAAAAAGTTGGCTGTTATTAGAAAGATAACACACATAGTTTGATTGTAGTTTGTTCTTTGCTCCTGGTAAAAGTATGGCTGCTCGCTAACAGATGGCTTGGATTCCCTTTGAGATATACAGGGGTAGCCGTCTCACTGTCAGGACACACATTTTGGCAAGAACGTTTTTACTCCCGCTGTGAAAAGGTGAACACAGCTTCCTTCGGCCAGCTATTTTGGAAGAGTGCCCGTCCTTATCAAAGGAGCTGATATTTTTAACAGGGCAACATGGCGATTACATCATTCAGGCCAATTAAATCTCCACCTGCAAATGCATGTATGGCTGAGTTTGTGCAGCAAGGAGTGGGAGTAGAGGCTGCTCCAGGGCCACTCATTTGATGGGAAGAGATAGAGCAGTTTACCCAGAAGACCGGAGGCTGGCTGCTAAAAGGCATTTCCAACGAATTACATCCTCAAACCCCAAGCTCAGACGTATAATCAAGAACAGAAGTGACGAGGGAAGAGAAATCGAGTTGAACTGTTTGCATAAGTAGAGAATACTGTACTGCATGTGTGGATGGATGTGATTTTGCTGCTACTGGACACCTGAGGGGGATCAATGTATTCATCTTATGTATCCATCTATACATAAGATTAGGAATGTGTCTTTTGACTTATTAATATGGGATTATTAGTGTGACATGCAAGAGAAAAAATACAGCTAGTTAAGTTATCAGTGAGAGAGATACACTCCCGGCGGAGCTTAAGTCTATGGTTTGTCTATAAATATATTTAGCAATGATCCGTATTGGTGGAGGAGACATCCCAGACGGGTCTCAATGGACTGTAGTCACTTAAAAGAAACAGATGGAAGTAGTGTGAACGTCCCCAGAGCCTCATTTTAACATTGTTTTCAATAGATATATTGAGTAAACACAGGCCATTGGCAGGAGTGAAACACAAAGCACCTGAGATTATTGCTGATGCGCAGTAGAAGTATGCGTTTCAAGTAAAGCTTATGTATATCCATCCATCTATCTTCTTCCCCTTAATCCATTTCTGGGTCCTCCTGCAGGTGTGAGTCCGAAGGAGGACGGCTGCTCTGTCAGTGACAACACAGCCTTGCCTTGATCTTTCAGTAGGGGCTTCAGGCTAAGTGGGGTTAAGTGCCTTGTTAATAATGTATGTGTTAAAAAAATGTCAATAGAAAATTTGCAAGAAGAAAAAGACCAAGGCAAAGCACAACACTGGTGATTCTCAGTATAGTCAACCGCAAATGTGGGGGAAGGTTCGGAGTGACGAAAAGGCCCAGGCAGACGTTCTGATAGAGCCATTGGAAGGGAAAAGACAGAGGTGTTTGGGAAATAGAGTTCCAACTGTGACGGTTACAGCTGCGAAGGCTTGTTCTGAGCTGACGGGACATACTCTCACTGAAGGAGCTGACAGCAGACGGATGCACGACAGTACGTCTCATGTCTCCTCTGGTTTGCATTCGTTATTTAGGGTGGAACAAGACACTCTCTGATTATAAAAGCAGGGTATACTTCCTACCTGGTATGAGGACAATAAAGTTATACAGTATATTTATTTCATGTCTTAAAGTTGATTAAAAATTATATTTGCATAATAGTAAACTTCAAGCAGTCCATGGTGTGTGAATATCTAGTTTTGCACCTCGAGGGAATAACGATTTTCATGACTTCTATTGCTATTATCTTTCGCCTGTTTGCCCATGGGAGTAAAAATGTCCTTGACCCATTGATTTTTGTTTTGTTTTTCCTTGCCACATGCTTTTCGAAAGACGTTTTGGGACAATTATCCACTTGCTCGATTCCTGTGAATATTGAATTTGTCTTTTTCAACCAATGGATTTTTAAAAGGTTATTTTGTGCCTTTGGGGTGTACAAAACAAATATTGATTGTGTGCAAAATATCGTGCTTGAATATTATTATGATTGGGTATAGCGCTCATTATCTCACATAAAGAAGGTCATGGGGGCGAAACCCGTAACGAACCGGGCCCTTCCTTGTGGCTGGGTAGGTTTCTTATTGATTTATTTCACAGTGAACATTGTTGATGCACTTTTAGTGTATTTTGTAATGTGTTGGTGCACACTGGGTACTTTTGCACTTGTGGTACAAGTACTCCAATGTGTTTTTAAACTGGAAATGGAAAATACACTGCATCTGAACTGACTCTGTAGTTTGGATAAAAACACCAACATCACAGAACTATCACAAACCATGGACTTTTGTGACAATAGATGGTGCTTTGTTCATGAGTACTTCCCTGGGCTTTATTGAGCTAGTGAGTTAACATTGTCCCTCTATTTTAAAGTCAATGCTGACAACTCAACAACCAACACAAAACATATTTTTTCAACAATAGCTTGAATGCACTTTAGGTCAAATGGCAAAGGCATTTTTTCAATGCATTTGGAGCTGGTATGTTGGCCCCCTGAGCAGCTGTCCCTCTGTTTTAGAGTGCAGGGGAACAGCAGCTGTAAGCAAAGCACAGAGGCACAGGCGCGGCAGGCACGAGTGACAGAGACGAGCTGACAAGCCGTCTCCCCTCATACCTGTGTACTCCAGGTGGAAGCCTGCGGCAGACACGCTGATGTCCGACTGGAAGGTCAGGAACAAGTTGTTGGAGGTGCTGTTCAGCAGTTGGGGAATGGTTGTACCTTTAATAAATTATATACACAGGAAATTAGTTTGAAAAGGGCATAGTCAAAACTCGAAGAAGGCTGATTTGAATTATGAATAATGTCAAAGAGGGGCTTGGGTTTCTGAGGCCATTGAGAATATGAAAGTTTGAATATTTATGTTTAAGAAAAGAACAAGCTGACTTTGAGTTAAATGTTCGGCTGCGCAACTTTTGTCAAGTGGTTTTATTTTATGCTAATACAAAAATAATTTCAGTAGAATTATTACAGCAAGTGGTTTGATATAAGCATCTCCGGAAGGGGAATAAAATAAGATAATTTATAAAATAGATTAAAATTATTTCTCACAATTGTGCCTGGACGTCACAGTGTTAAATTAAAATAATTTATTATGTGACAACTTTTCAGCTAAGTTACAAGTTGTGTATCTGGAGAGGTGCCTCAAAAAGAATGTGATTGATTAAATACAAGGGAGATCAAACAGTTTGAGTGTCTTTAATCTAACCTGCCACCGTTCAAACTGTATCTGTCCAAGTTTACTTGTTGCTGTTTCACAAACAGTTGAAAATGTCAGAAAGATGAAAATCCTTCTCATCGTCTAAATTGAAATATTCAGCACTGGGTTCATGAAACCTCTCACTTCATAGAAACAGATCGTTTCAAAGGGAAGTCATTCCTCCAAAATGACTTCTCTGTTATTGCAACTTACAACCTTAAGTTATGGAATGACCTGTTTGCACGGGAACCTCTGCAGCAAGAGCGTCTATTTGATTAGCAGGACCCTCGGGGCGCCTGACACTTGTAACACCGCAGTCTGAAACTGGTCCTAGATTATGAGGATTTATTCTTCAGATACGATGCAGAGGTTTGACTCCTGCTTGACATTCCTTAACTGATTGTACATGTTGTTCTCAAAGGACACGCTAAATGTCATCAGCTCCATCACCACAGCTGTCTGTGTCTGGGACCTTGTGACGTTTGATTGAAACTCAAGCGGGGCTGTCAGGAAGATTCTTTTGTCTCAGTTTTACCTGAGTAGCTGCCGAGCCTTCGAGCATTGCCATCAACCCCATCAAAAAAGTCCAGAGAGTCCCAGTTGTGCTCAGTAGCAAAGGTCACAACTTGAATCTTTAAACAGAGAAAATAAAGAGAACATGTAGTTAAATAGATGCACTTAAGGATTAATAATGTACCACAAAGTCATTAACAGGTAGAGGGCACTTACTTGAATACCAGCTCCTTCTGGAACTGTGATTTTCCAAGCACAGTTGAGATAGTTTGCGTAGGTCTCTGGATATCCTGGAGAGAGGATGGTGCCTCTGCGACCAGCCAGAACACCACCACAAGGCACTACATAAAAAAAAAACATGGCTTCAGATAAATTGGATACAGCAGCAGGTGCAGGATAAAAAAATATTGGCTCAGTAAAATCAGAACAAAAAAAACTTAATAAAACCTTCACAGCTTTTAATTCCATCAATATGATACTTCCATCTTGGCAACCGGAAAAAAGCACCATTTTGTTATAATTTAACATTGCCTTTGAGTGCCCTGAGCTATCAGTTTAATGTAATTGGAAGAGGAAGATTAGAAATCATGACACTCATAAAAAAGGAAAGGCTCTCACCTATCTCAATCAGCACAGCTCATGTCAGAGCCATGGGGAGATAAGTGCAAGAACTAGACTTTTTACCACATTGCAAACAGCAGGCTCAAAACAACTTTTATCTTTGGCATAATTACCATACATTGTGTTAGGATTAAAAGTAAGCATTTAAAAGAAATAGGAAGCGGTTTTGGTATTTTGTGCAGAAGAAAGAAATATTTTGCAAGATATTACTGATATAGTGGCAATAGGGAAAAGCAGAGCTGGAGGCAGCAGAGCTTGAGATATCGAGCTTCTCTATTGAAGTAATGGGGATGTATGGTTACACATCAAAAGATAGCACATGAGAGGAGGAATGAGACATATACAGCTGGTAAAGAATGGAGAAAGGGACATGTACGTAAGTAGAAAATAATCACATATTTTATACTGTATGACAAGGATACAATCATTTCTATGTTCTTTATGTATTACAACTGCAGTGTTTGTGTTGTTACTGCTCCGTATGGAGCTGCTGCCACAGGAGCCTGACCGGCAGGTCTGCTGGGTCGTAGAAGATGGCCGATGTGGTGTCAGTGCACTCCCACGCACAGTGCTCTTTAATTGGGTGTAGGAAGACTACATTGAAACAAATCCTCTGTTTTAAAACAAGCTTGGTGCAAGGTTGTTTACTTCTTGTCACCTCTGAAAATGTTGTTGCAGACAGCGTAGGTTTTCTTAGTGTGAAACTGTGCATATATATCACACCACAGCGACATGATCCAGAAAAGTTATAACTCACTCAGCAAGCACACTCAATGACAAAAGCTATTTGGAGAATGTGGTAAGTTAGCCATTTAAGCAAAAAAAATGTTGCCATGTAATGTAAACCATCAATTAAAGGTAAAGGTGCACTTTATTAATCCCCGTAGGGCAATTCAATCCTCTGCAATTGATGCACTTGATGCCATTAGGGCTTACGTCAGGAGCAGTAGTCGCCGTAGTACAGCGCCCGGGAACCCATCTCCAGATGTTGATGCTCGGCTTGGTCAGGACTAGCTGGAGGATTTAACTTACTGAGCATGTTTTTAGTGGTAGGGGAAACCGGAGTACCCAGGGGAAACCTACGCAGGCACGGGGAGAACATGCAAACTCCACTCAGAAAGACCCTGTTCCGACCGTGCCGCCCAATTGTATGTAATACATATATCTATTTAGAATTGCCTTCTTGGAAAAATACAGTACATCCTGAACACTAGAGTATTTCTTGAGGTGTTTTGTGCCAAATTATGACAAAGACATTTAGAGGCATAGTAAGTGATTGACTGGAACAAATGACATACACAACACTTGGCTGCACAACAATGGCTGAAAAACAAATATAACTTCGACCACAGATTTGTCATGCATACATAAGCTAGAAGACAATTTCAAATTACTTCACCAATTACACACAAAATAATGTAACTTCATGTTGCAATAGATAAACAAAGAACACTCCAATTCATATCCAGTCAAGAAATAAATTATGCAGGCAACTGTTCAGGAATTCGTTTTACAGAAAGCACAGCAGAGCTTTAGCAAACATTATGCAACCATTCAGCCTACACTAATTAAATCACAATAGGATGTTCAGTGCTAAAGATTTAATTCATTTGTCTTTGCCAATCAAACAAAACAACTACACAACCATGTGCAGGTATTTCAAATGTAAGCAGAGCGTAATGGCAGAATCCCCTGTAAACAAGACTTGGGTAATTGAGCATAGTGTTTTTGTGGAAACTGCCATAAAACTATATATATCCATTATTCTGGAGCACAGCACTCAGCCGCTGGGAGAGAGAGATGCTTCAGCCAGATTGAATCTCCAGATAAGAATCACGGTGTTTAAAATGGGAGCGCGCGTGCCACATATATTCCCTCACCACTTGGCAGCAAACTCGCGTGAACCCTGGATTTGTTGTTCGGCATCAGTCCTGACTTTCCATAGATCTTTTCTTACTTTTTTATCTTCCAGAGTAAGACAGGTGGGAGTATGTGCGACACCAAGTTTATTCCCAGTGAAAATATGTGTAGGTGTTGTGTATAATCGTTTTTTTAGTGTGTTATTTCGTTGGTCATCAAAAAAAACAACTATTTTACTGCCGAATTTAAAGATGGAAAGGGTTTAAAAGCTGGAGTTTGAGTATTCAGTCATGTACACAGTCTCGTTCACAAGACATCAATCTCAAATAGAAGTATAAAAATTGTATTTCAATTACACAACTAACACTGCAGAGCTGGAGGAAGGACAGTCTGAGCGTGTATGCTGAAACTACTCAATCAAAAAAAAAAAACAGTGAAAAAGTGAGAAACCCAGAGGAGGCTCACTGCTGCCACGAGACCTGGCAACAGACAAGGAAAATGGATGGATGGAAAGATGGATCACTGCACACATAGACGGGATCCATCTATAATTATGTATATGCTAGCTAAACATTAGTACAAATGACATTTAAACACATTATAAGTATACATGTTCACTAGGTTCACAATTACAAAAAACATTCTCACAACCCTTTATTGTTGTTGTTTCTGGCTTAGAAGATATAGTCATAAGTACATAAGTCATCAAAAAACTTAAATAGTACACATGTTGATATTGATAAGGTTTTTGCCATCTCTGATAGACCTCTTTAGAGTGAGTTTCACCACAACAAACTGTTTTTTTTTTTTCATTTATAATGCCAATCATGCATCCTACTATACAAACTATATGTAAACATTCGGATGCATAACCCAAAACTAAAACTGAACTGGGGACAGCAAAAAACACAACCCCATTCAAAATAATAAGAGGCTCAATTTAGCATAAAATAATTATGTTCAGTTATGATGAGGGACAACCTTTATAAAATGATTCCAAGTTCATAAACATTTGATTCACATAAGTATGAATCACCAGTATGACTCTTGTGAGGACTGAATAAAACTCTACAGTAGTTTTTATGGCTATGTCCACTTCTCCTTGAGCTGCCTGTGTAGTGTGGGAGGCTGTGACACTACTTCGCCCCTTGAAATAACCCCACACAGTATAAACTTGACCATGCATAAAAATGTAAAGCGCTGATTTCTTCAACAACATAAATATTCATGCGTGCTCAATGTACATATGGTCTCCAAAATCCATGTGAAATGATGAGGTGATTCTGTGAGCAGATGGCACATGTACTGTATAAAAGATTCAGGGCCTTTTTTCATACCAGGTGGGGTGTGTGTGGTTATGTGCGTCAAAACATAAACAGAGTTAGGGTGAGGTGCAGAGTGGCTTTGCAGGAAAACCAAATGATCTCCGAAAGTGGAGCAGATGAAATAGTAAATTACAGCCGGCAGATGTCATGTGAAAGCTCTGAGAAACATGGCTTTTATTCCTCAGATCAAACACAGCACATAACCTCATGTTTGGGGGTCCAGAGATGTAGGAAAATCAATTGTATACGTTTTACTTGATTTTTTATTATGCTTACGTTACAATAAGATGCTATAGCCACATTTACTATATTGTGTTGCATATAATTTTGTAGCAGATGTCATCCCTCTTGTAGTCAGTCCATTGAATGTCTGTTCTGTGGTTGTTGTATTCAACTTCAGTTCCTGTGTTTTTACATGTGTTTTACAAGTTTTTTCCTTAAATTATACTTTTTATTGCAGTATTGATATTTGGGTCCTTCCTCCTGTCCTCCTTTCCACCACGTAACAGTAGATTTTTTTCATAGCTGCTTATCCACTGTATTTTTTAACACTTACTAAATATCTACTATTACTAACATATGTTTTTGGTACTAGCATAGATAATATATGTATAGTGATTGATGTTTTTTGTTGTTATTCTTATGTTTCACCATTTTAAGATTATATCCTGTATCACGCAGATAGGATGGAAAAATGAAAGGCGAATGCTTGCATAAATCTACATACAAAAAAGACAATAAATAGACTTGAAGCCGCTGAAAAAGAGGAAGAATAAACAACCATTTGGAAGCATCTGCGGCTCCTCGTTAGTGCGTGTGTGTGTGCTGGAGGGGGCTCACCGACACATGTGGGCACAGTGCCGTTCCACTGGGCCAAAGCATTGGGCACGGCCTCACACCTGATGGCAGTGGCCCCGTGCAGCGTGTAGCCTGGATTACACTCAAAGAGCACCGCCATGCCTGTGCCAAAGTCATTCCCAATCCGCTTCCCAAACCGCGGCTCGGGAACTGAGTTGCACTGTGTGGAACTGGTCCTGGGGACAGCTGCAGGGGAGAGAAAGGAAAAGAATGTAGGAGGCACAGCTCATCACACAGACGCTATATGACGACAACATCTGCACATTAAGATACAGTGTGACTTTCTCTGGTGGAAGGTCTAAGTTCTTGTGTCCTTGATCGAGTTATTGATTCACCCGAGAAGTTCCAAAGTATGACATTAAGATGATATTTCTAACACTTATTCAGATTGGGGTGTTTTTATAGCTGGAGATAATGAATTCTTTCAGTGAGTTTTGTCCAAATGAGCTTCACCTTATTGTCTCCATGGAGATAAAGTACAAGCAGTGGAGCTTACATTGAAATGGTCTTGATGGACCCTGAAGTAGAAACAATAAAGTGTGTGTCTTTATGTCAATTGATAAAACTATGCAATTTTTTTTTTATATTCCAAAGATTACCCAACAATAGTAGTATTTACTCTAATTGCAATTTGGCAGCTGTTCCCTTGATCTGTAATATTTTCATGTTTTTGTGTTTGTTAAAAGATAAACAACAGCAGCAGATCTTTGTGGAAAGGGTGAACAGGAGAACTGTCAAAAGTAGAACCAAAGACCTGCTATAAAAAGTGCTCTGTGGGTTGATTAGTGTGCTACTTACAGTAAACACTGAGGAGACATTTTTAGACATTGTTAGTACATTTCTGACAATATTGTTATGACCGTTATGATTATTCCACAAAATGTAAAATATGAGAAAACGACCACAAACACATCACCAGTACTTATGATGTTTTCATATATGATTAACTTTAGGTATCAACACAAATGTAAAAACAAACAAATTCATCATCTTTCCTTACCTTGGTAAACAAAGTGAAATCCTTTTGCAGTTTCACTTCCATTTGCAGAGAACTTGAGTGTTATTTTATTTCCAGAACTCAAAGGCAATGTCTCTCCTGCAGATGAGAAAAGAAACAGGACAAAATAACAAGTAAATGCAGAGTTGTATGGTCATAAAACCAGCTATTTTTTTTCAAAGCATAACATATATATACGATTGTTTCACTAGCGGCACATATTATGATGGGAATATATTAAGATTGGATTCATCTGGTGAAAAAGGAATAATTTAATCTTTACAAACATATCTTTGTATGAGTATTTGCTTTAGCAGGAAGGACAATGGTTTCTTTAATAGCCTTTATTGCTGTCACAGTCTGGAAATACTCGGCTTGTAGCATTAAAGCTCAAGGTTACAGAGTAAAGCTTTTACCTGAGTGAGATCCATAGATAGAGGAAAGAAGGGCAGCCTCAGTGGAGGAGCCATCATAGATTTCCACCACATCAGTCGCCAAGGTCTGGAAAAACACAAACTGTCCAAACAGCACTGCAAAAGAAAGAAACAAGTGGAGGGAAAAAATAAGTTACATATAATAGTCCATTGTGTGGTTGACTAACTGACTGAATTTGTGTTTTTCGATGGTGTCAAAAGTACATTTAAATACTTTTTGATGCTGTAGCATTGTGAAAGTTATTAATACTCTAGATGCCAGGTTTTTTTTTTCCAGAAATCTTGTGTGAAACAGACAAAAGATGGACCCCCAAAACTTTTTAAGAGCCAAACACTCAAACAATTACTGAATTAAACAATAGTAAAACATGTTAAAAATAAAAGAAAAAAGAAGTAAAAGGCCGTTGAGGAATTGTCCTGGATTGGGCTCATGCAAACTGCTACTTTGGCATTAAAAAGGGTTATTTCTTTAGACACATTCATATTTTTTAGGCTGAGTATAATTTACAGCAATAACACATCTGTGCCTCAGCTTTACTTGCTGCATTTAGACAGCAACTCACAATTGTGTGCCAACGCTTTCAGCTTGTGCAGCAACCTGCCTCCTCCCCAACACCACCTCAACAGTGGGACGTAACTGGTTAATCAATTCAGCCTTCAGAGTTCAGATGCCAGGGGGGGATTTCAGTCGCATATTATCAATTCAATTCCCTCCTACATAGGTTGAGCTTTATTTATTCCCAGGTCAAAACGCCAACCCTTATCCACATTTTTTATGTCCCACTTGGCAACACATATACCATACTATATGTGTACTGGGTGTAAGTACCCTATGCAATCTAATTCACCCTGGAACCTATTTCCAATACATATTCTTATCTGCATCTTTTCAGATTGAAATATCCTTCACACGTTGTCAAAAGTCTAACTAAATCAGTGTTAAAGGTTTGTGGTACAAGATTATCAAGTTAAGATGAAATCTACCACTTAATCTATCCATCCATTTCTAAACTGACATGTGAAGGCGGTGGAATGATGATGTGTGTCTAGACTATGACCTTTAAATTGATTAAGCCACCTCTGACTAATGACACAGCATGTGGGATCAGCTGAGGGATCACAAAATCTTATCTTGACTACGGAGCATTGGGACAACTACACAGAGCTTATGATAATGAACTGGAGATTATTTTAAACACTGAGGGCATGAATATTTCCAATTAAACCTTCTTGATGATATCACTGTGTGCACATCCTTGAAAATAATGTGATCTTCCATTGTGTACACAGAGATACGGACCACTGGATCTGGAGAAGACCTGGGACTGAGACTTGTACAGTGTATTAAGAATACACTGTATCTGAGAGCCTTGTGTCGAATCATTGTGACATCTTTTGTGCATCTCTATCTATTGTGACAACGGCAAACTAAACCAATCAGTGTTTATTTTAGCATACGAAAGCATAAGCCGTCCTGTTTGTTAGGGATTACAATGCACCAAAAATAAGCATTCGAGAACGACAACCAAAGCCATCCAAAACAGAACCATTGATTTTCACTTTTCCATTTCCGGCTGTGACTTCCTGACAATGAATACACTTCACACTGACACAAAGATTAGATATTTGAGGGTTAAGCCACAGGAAATCATTTGTCTGGACTTGAGGGTATTAAAAGAAAAAGAATAAAAACCCAAAATTGGCCAGTCCTCTGCACTCAACTTCACATTTAGCTTTATATAAAATCTCTTTCAAAATCTATAAAACTATACAATTGGTAGTGTTTATGTTGGAAGGCAGGTGCTAATACAACTAGTGTATATAAAGAAAACAATAAAAAAAAAAAAAAAGAAGTTCAACAGAAAATGTCTAAATCTTTTCCCTGATCATAATTTGAACTAGCTATATATATCTTGTATCTGAAAGGCTCTTTTACTGACCAACAACATGCATTTATAGTTTTTTAATACGGTCATAGCTTCTCAACACCTTTAATGAGAAAACTATTTTATGAGATAATAATAACCGTAAATGTACAGCCAAAGAAGATGTCAAACTTTGTAATTCCTGGGTCAATCACATGAAACAAAAAGTCACAGAGAGATAGAAACTAAGGCTAGAAAACTTTTGAAAACTATTAAATTATCTATTACCTAAGTCACAACAGCACTCACTTCAGAGGACAAAGTTATCGATTCACCAACAACAGATCAGAGAATGAAACAGTTCGAACGTGGGAAATGTATTAATAACTGTTAAATTATTAAAAGGAGACAGTGGTACTCAATGCTCTCAAACATGTGGCCTGCGGGCTATTTTCAGCCCACAATTAGGTATTTTGTGGCCCCCTCCTGGACATCAAACTGTAATGAACAATTAGTAAAAATATGACACATTATACAAGCTAATGTTATCCAGAAACCAACCATACCACTTATTTTATAGTAAACATTGTAAAAATCCTCCTTTTCGTCCAAAATTTGTTAAGCTGCCCTCCATTGCAACTATATGATTGGAATGTTGTGATGTTACATGAACGCAACATATGAAGCAGTAATATGTATAAGGCAATCACGCTAAACACACACTGTCGGAAGTAAGTAAGAAATCCTTCACTGTATAAATTTTTTTTTTGCTCATCTGTAAATTAAACATTGTGTGAAGTCCTTGTCTCGAATTTTGGATGGAAACATTTTGTTGGGTTTCGATTCCATTTTTATGCAAGTATATAAGGATCAAATATTGTTCCTAGACTGCATTCTTAACATTCAAAATATGAAACCCTGAAAAGTACCGGCAGAAACTGTTGAAGGTAACGCATTGAGGCATATGTTGGTCCTTCTGGTGATGAATTATGTAGAAGCTATCTGTCATGTTCCCTCTGAACGTGCAAGAATCGTCTGGCAGGTCGCCTCGCAGTTTAGCACAATGAGACCATTATATCCACAACAACTAAGAAGGACTGGTTCCCAAGTGACTTCTGGAGCCACTAGAGGCAGCGCTGCACTGTTCCTGGTGAGATTACGCTCGTGACTGAGTACAAATGTCCAAGCAGGTGTCAGCACGAAGGAGATGGTGCTCTCAGAAAGCGGGCTCTGTTTGTATGTTTCTGTAATGAGATAACCGTGGCCTTTTTGTTTAACACGGAACTCAACATGCCAACTAGAAGCAGCGGAAACACGGAAAAGAAAAACAATGCAATCCTCCGAGCAGAAGGTGTAGTCACAGAGACAACCGAGCCTCTTTATCTGCCGAGACGTGAGGACGCTCGTGGCACAAGCCGATGTGGAGAAAGAGATGGTTTTACCCTGAGGGAGCGCTCACTGCTGCGGCATTAGCATACCAACACGGGGCTCCACACTCACTACACACAAGTACAGTGGCGTTCATTGTGCCTCTAATCCAAAGGCAGCCAACCATGACACCAATCTGCTCCTTTGCTGTAATCACGTCCAGATATTAAGTCAATAAATCATGGTAAACTTGTTGCCTAATTTATGCGGGACTATGATGAATACTTTGTCCTTTGGGTCTCATAGCAGTAATGTAATGCACTGCAAATGAACAATGGGCAACATTATTATGCTGCAATCTTAACTTTGATTTATTCCTAAATATAAAGAGATGCTTTTTACGCACTATGAGCCAGTGGATTTAAACACTGTGCAGGTAATTCTGCCCAGAGCGCCTGCAGGGCCAAACACAATATAACTTCTTACTCATACAGAATGTTAAAAAGACATTTCTATTCACATACAAATCATTTCATTGTTTTATTTATGTTTTAGCCCGACATTATTTTTTTCATCATATTTGTATTGACAATGAGCTGGTCTACTTACCCAAATTTACAATGAATAATAATCCATGTAACTAGTCCCTAACTATATATTTATTCATTTGTTCATTTGTCCACGTTATCAAATCACACACGTCATATATATTGTTTTTACATTAGTGCAACATGAACAAACAGGAACAGAAGGAAGAACAAAAAAATCGTATATCTCCGGTTACTGGTGCTTCCTGGATGCCTCTCTGGGGAGGTGGTCCGGGTAAGTGAGACCCCAGGGAAGACCCAGGACACGCTGGAGGGACTATGTCTCTCAGCAGGCCTGGTAATGCCTTGGGATCCCCCCGAATGAGCAGTAGGAACTGGAGGGCGTCTCTGCTTTAGTCTGCTGCCCCCGTGACCCGGCAACGAAGGAAGCGTAAGAAAATGTATGGATGGCATTAGTTTCATGTCTCTATCACATCTTTAGATCTTTGGTCTGATTTGTTCGCTCATTCTGTTGAGACAAACCAAATTGATTTATGAAAAAAAGGACTCAAAAGGGCTTATATTTTGATGTTAAAATACACATTAATTAATTTGTTGGAAAACTTTCACCTTTATTTAAAACAACAGACCAAAACAGATATTTTATGTCAAACTATGTAGCAACAATGATGCACAGGAAGCCTGAATTGAGTTAATTCTGGCTCAATAATAGACATTTCCTGCAGGTATTGTTTCTGTGTTTATAGTGTGAAATTTCCTCTCTAAAATGTGCTCAATTGGGCTGTGATTGTTGTAGAGAGACAGAGGAAATTAAAATGACTGCCCCTGGAACTGTTGTGGACAATAGAGTGTTTAGAGACATGAATAAGAAGACTTGTTACCCCGCTGGAAATATAAATATACAATGGCGCACACCTGGGCAGCCACAACGGCGACGAGATGTTTTCAAATAACAAGCAGCAGCAGTAATATGAGGAAGTATTGACATTCTCTTTTGAGCAGTAAAAATATAATTAAAGTATAATACAATGTTGTGCAAGTTTTATATCATACTGATGCACATTCCAAGAAAATCTCCAGGACAAAAAGAAACGTTACGCACCTTTAAAAGGTGCATTGCTCAAGAATGGACCAGATTTTAAGTTATTGTCATTAGATTCCAAGTTTGGATTTTTATTAATTTATAATTTCTTTATCATTTTACTTCCTGGTTGTAGATGATGACATCACTGGAAGATGATACCTAGTAATCATGTTGTTCAATATAATTATATATACAAAAAGTATATACTTAAAATACTTATAATAATATATT